GTATAAAAATTTAAAGATGTTTTTGTCCAACATGAGAGTGAGAAAGACAGTAAGCGCGTGGATAAACAACTGACAACTTAAGGAGCAGACAATATTTACCTCAAGGTAAAAATTTTTACATCCAACCTTCAAGTTACCAGCAGTAGCTGACGCTCTTGCGTGCGCACATGGATATAGTTCTCACTGCTTACCGACTAAGCTCCAATAACAATGTGGCAACGTCGCGAGTTCATGCGGGCGTGCTATAGCCTTCCAATCCCATTTAGGGGTAGTTTGGAACGTATTTTCAATCGGCTCCTATTTAAAAGCGATTTGCCCTAAAAAATTAATTCCAACGGGGTTCGCGTCAGAAAAAATCGCTCTACACGTGGTTCTCGGGAAATGCCACCGTTACATATCATGCTGTATATACACTTACGCTTGACACCACTGCAACGTCCGAAAATACAATTTAATTTACACAAATATAAATACATACGTATGCACATGTATTATATAGGTTTCCAGAAAAAACAAAGTGAATAGCCCCTGGGGAGGGGGGCACGATACGACGATATCTTTCTTCTCTTCTGGCATAAACCACAAAACTGTAACCATCTACTAGTAAAATCCACATAGGGACGAAAGGGTGGGGGTGGAAAGGAGTAAATAATCAGTCAAGGCAGTAATGCACTTTGAAGGCAGGCTGGTGGTTGTAGAAAAATTAATATGGTGATTGGTACAGTGGACAAGATAAACAATTCACACTCGAATTCGCTTCGATGAAAGAAAAGAAAAAAAAAAAAAAAAAAAAAAAGGATCGATCCATCGACCATCCAGCAAGAGTTCAAGGCGTACACGCGGGGGTTTGATCGCTCACTAGACGATATAATCGATAATTACCGGCTCCCGGCTCGTTCGCAGAGTCGTACAAAATAAGTGTGCTGTTACCGTTGTTGCCGTAACTCGGGCTATTGGGATTGCCCGGCTGTTGTTGCACCAGCCCGCTCGTCGACGGATTGTAGCCGCGCATCGGCGAGCTCGGCGGCTTTATCGTCTCCTTGACCTTATACGGCTTGTTGCCAATTTGCGGCACCTCCGCACCTTCGATAAACAAAAACTGCCGACAAACGGGCCATCAGTCACCACCGGTGTCATCTCAGGCTGCAAAATATCAATGGACAAGCTCGTGTGTCTTACTTCGACGGTGAGGGTTCCGGTGACCTCGTCCTCCTCGTAAGGCCTCGATTGAAGGGGTATGATCTGCCGCTGGCTCGGGTTCGCCAGGAGCTCCTCGACCCCCACGATCCCCAGGCCCAGGAACCTATCGCTCTTGTTGACTCTGTCGTAAACCTCGAGCAGCACCTCCGTCGTGTTGTGACTGATGTCGCTGGAAATCCGACACAAAATTCAACACCTACGCCTATGTTTCAGTTTAAATGTACCATACCGATGTGCAGGTACATTGGGAGAAAAACACCATGACGATAAAAATTACCGGTGGCATATTGGTAAATTTGATCTCTAAGGAGTATTTGTACTTTTGGCAACGTAACATTTCTATCATTTTGGCCCAGTAAATTTCATCACCCTTCCATCTCTCTAAATAAGGCGTCAAAAACCAACACCTTGGAGCATCTATATAAACAAGCAAACGTACAAGAGGAACGCCTCGTCCCAGACGGGGCTCTTGGTCTCCTTCTTCATGGCGGTCTGGTGCCTCTGTGGTGGCTCGTCCACCTCTACGGTGCAGTAAGGCTCCCTGCACTCCTTGTCACCCGCAAGATCGGCCGCCCTCACGACCTTGACGAGCAATCTCCTCTCCCCCGGCGCGTACTGCTGTATCGTCGAGGCCGAGGATTGCAACTGGCCGTGGCGTTGTTGCGGCTGCAACCGGTCGATCGCCGAGCCCGAACCCTACCGATCACACATAGTTTTCCCTCAATACGGTACATTGGCTATACGAACGGGCGTGAGATCACGCAGTAAAATAGTGCACATCGTGCAAGTATCGAATCGGTAAACTTGCATGTGTGTACTAATCAGTGGGGAAACACCAACCATGGGGTCGTATTGTCCAGGCATGGAGTACCCGCCGGTCGGGTTCATCGACTCGCGCCACAGCCGGGGACAGTTGACGTAGTTGGACAGGTTGAGGTGCAGGCTCGTGCTCCGTATCGCCCCGATCACGATTTCTGTGAGCAGGTCCTGCATCTGGCTCTCGTCCAGGTCCTTCTTTATGGCGCCGACCTGGGCCAGCGATACCTTTATCTGCAAACGGAAGATTTTTTTTTTTTTTTTTTTCATGTATATTTCAATTTTTTCGTCCCATCATTAAACGGGACGGCACTCACTTCCGGCCATCCGTCGCACTTGAGGTCGACGAGGAGCTTCTCCGTTATGCAAAAGATGTTGAGCCGGGCGCGAAACCGGTTGACGTTGACTCGGTAGTGGCTCGCTTCGATCTTTTCTCCCTGTTGGCGGAAGGACTTTAGCTGCAGCGCCGGCGTCGCCTCGCAGTCGCACGTTATCGTCTGCGATACAAATCACGCATAAATATCAGCACCCGTTTCGTTACTCGTATTACGTATATGTTATGTTATACATCAGGTAACAATCGGTAGGTGGAGATCAAGCGGCACTTACCACGTCGTCCTTTGAGTTGCACTCGCAAAATATGTTGGACAGCACCGGGGGGTGCGTCTCTGGGAGGACGCGGACAAACTCGATGCCGATGCCGTGCTGAAGAAAAAAAAAAACAACAGCCAATTCGTCATTTGTCATTTCATTTTTTATTGATCGTAAGGTGAGCTTTTGTGCGTGTATAGAAACGTATACATCTCTTGTCGTGTTTAATGACGAACGATTTTGCAACGATTGGGATTGTAAAGCGTAGGTACTTCGAGGGAAGTAGTTTGCAAAAATGTTTGTACTTACTTCCGCATCGAGCTCAAAAGAAAACGGACGACAAAAAGAGAGAGAGAGAGAGAGGAAATTGTACATCATGCACATACGGGATATATATATATAACTCAGCGATTGCCGGGCACGATTGCGTGGGCGTGAATGATATACAGGTATGATATGTGTATTTATGTGCATCTATAAAAGGTGTGTGTGTATATATATATACACAAGCGCATGTAAATTTACAGCAGAGAGAGGAAGGGAGCAGTGGAGTTGGAGGCATCAGCGCGCGGGTAGCTATTTCGGGCGGAAAAGTTAAGGGGTGACGTCAGCGTTAAACGGCGTCTATAATACACATCTACTATAATATATAGGCGACATATTACATACACGTACAACTTGTGTATATATGCACAGCACGTGTGTGGCTGGTATACGTATATGTATGTATTATTATGCCGCAACGTAACTCCTCGATGCCGATGACGAAACGTCTCGAGACAGTGCGATGCAACACAATGTATGTATATACAAGCGCACAGTGTAATCTTACGTATATGTTGTGTGTAAAGATTTTTTCTTTTTCTGTCGATGACGCGCTCGATGACGATTATTTGGAGATTACATACACTATTTGGGAAGCTAAAGAGTTTGGGTATACGGTATATTATATGCGTATCTCTCGTTTGAATGGTGTGTGTGTGTGTGTGTGTGCTCGCGAGAGGGTGGCTATTTTTGAGCGAAGAAACAACAAATAAAATCGGCGTCGGGTACAACGCTTCTCTCGAGTAGGGACGCACGTTGTCATTGTTATTCCCGAATTTCGATTGAGCTGTTCGATCGTAGCAAGTACGAGGACATCGATCGAAAAGGGGAAAAAAAAAAAAAAAAAAAAAAAAAACTTTTAAAGTCACGAGCACGAAATCATTAGTCATTCGTGTAATTTGACAAGCGAGTTGACAACTCATTGTAGCGTCCAAGGGGTACCCGAGAGCTATACTGCCGTAACAGATACGTATGTACAGATAGGTACGATCAATTGATTTATCGTTAAGCTCGTTAGTGAATGATACCGATTTTCATCCACCAATATAATTCATTCCAAGAACGTAAGTATGTATGATATTTCATCGCGATAGATAAATCTCAATTATACGTATACGCAGGTACATCAAAATATCGCGATCGACGCTTCCAAGTGCAACACCTGTTGCTATAAACCTTGAACATGCTATGTGTATACACTCTGTTTCTTGACAATTGGTGGCACCAGGACAAGCGTACTACTGACACACACAATAAAGTCGAAATGATCCTCACCTCGTTGACGCTGGAGGCGACAAAGTCGTTGAGCGAGTTGATCCATACCGCGAGTATCTCGTCCAGTACGACGAGATCCGTGTGCAGCCACAGTATCATGTCATTGGTCCAGCGCACGGCATCGGTGTCGGGACCCGTGGCCGCGGGCAGGTGCAGGGAGCGCGAGCTCCGCCCCGGACTGACCAGCGGTCCCGAATTTTTTCGCGTCACTCGCTTGCGCAACGGCGGCGTTGGCGGCACGTAACTCGACCCACCACCACCACCACCAAAGGACGTCGAGGTCGTCAATCCACCTGTGGACACGCCACCATCCGGTCAAACACACTATATACAGTCTCGGATCGGTATCGCGCTAATGGCAATCGGATAACATAAAAGGTAAACGGAAGCGATTTGTAATCGTCCCGATACGTGCCGGTGACACACAAGGGCGGTTCGTACATGAATCTATACCTATATGCCCGTTGCAAAGTTGGCAGCTCGACAGGAGCGCGCAACTCGTGGTCGGATCGAAACACACGCGCCCGCGGATCGGATAACAATATCACGGGGTGTGTATCGGCCAAAATTTTTGAGTGACTATTTTCTGGCGTCGCCACGCCATTTCCCCGACAGTCGGATTCTTGGCGTCAACACTCCCCGTTGCGTCCACGAGACATTTACTATCGGGTGCGTATTAAACAAGAAGTACCAAATCGAGGTACGCGCGCTTTATACTATATACATCTCATCACTTTGATGTAACGGGCGCAATAAGATGAAGTAGAAAAAAAAAAGGTAAGAAAACCTATAAAAAAATAAAATAACGAAAGAGGGGCGTACCAGTGGCGACGTGGCTCCTGGAGGCGTTGACGGACCTCGACCTGGCGACGGCAGCCGCGACCCCGGTAGCCGACGATCCAGCCCCAACCAGAGCCACGCTCTCCCCGATAGCGTGCAATCCAGCCGCTGTGGTGTGGCTCGCGTCCGCCTTGGCCACAGGTGCCGCGGCTACGTTGGCTCGATGATGCAGTCCAGCCGGGGCACCACCACCACCAGCTGCCGATCCCGTGCCACTGCTTGCCCCGCTAGGCGTACCCCCAACCGCACCCGTCGCCTTTGATCGCTGCAGGTGCACCCGATTGTAGATGAACTTGCCGACGCAGAGGATGACCAGCCCGAGGAGCATCCAGCCAAAGACGAGCATCGACAGGGTGTCCATTGTCCCGCCGGCGGACGAGTCGAAACTGCATATAAGATCGTCCACCCGCTCGGCCAAGTCGGCCATATTGGCCCATCCTCCGGTCAGCCAGCTCCAATTGCCAGATGCCGCCGTGGGCATTCTTCGCCGGCTATTTTCACCCGCTCTCACCGCCGCTGCCGCTGCCGCCTACCCTATTTTTGGCCCGGAGCGCGTATATACGTGCCTATACGCTCTCTGCCCTGGGAGTTGTGTGTCTGTATATCCTCGTTCGCTGCTCCACGTGGCCGTAGCGTCGCCGGTTGTTCGACAAGTGACTGTATACTGCTCGTCGGTTGTGACGGTTCGGCTCTATGTGCTCGCCGTTGGCCCCTCGGTCGTTACCTCCGATATGCTCGTTAAAATACCTCGGCTCGTGCGCGGCGCTTCAAAGGAATTTTATCGCCCATCGCTTTTCGCTTTATCCTTATCTGAAACATTAATGCGCCGTTGTGGAGTATTATAGCGTCACCAACTTTTTTTAGACGTACGCTCCGTGCACGGTCTTCTTGTTCGGATCGCCGTTACGGCTCGATTTTGCGCGTGCATCGGCGAGAACACACGTGTTTTGTCGATTACTCCGGGTGGGAAGGAGGGGGTTGTTTTTTCTCTTTGTTATTCCTTCAATGAACGCGGACCTTACCTATTGTTGTTTTGGTTTTTTCCTACGGCCCGGGGTCATTCTGCGGGTCTTGGGTGTATTGTTGGTTCTCGGCATTATTTGTTCCATGCGGTGTCGCTGAAAAGAAAAAAAAAAAAAAAGAAAGAATCAACGCGTTAATCGATTATTAAATGTGCCTTTTTTTGCACAAGTGACACTTTCTGGGTCGATAAGTGTTAGGATGTATATAAAATGTCACCTGCAACGTGCAATATATGCACCAGGTCTGACTCACGACGCGCACGTGCGGGCAAAGGCCGATTACACGCGTATTACGATGGTTTACGACGAGGCCATCAACTTTATCTCCATAGGCGTATCGTGTTTTTAATTGTCAAGAGTGAGACGAACTTTAAAACATAAGGTCCCAATACAAGAAGCGTCGCGTTCACAAGTGACAAACATGTCGGCAAGTGGTTTACTCACGGACTTTTTATTTATTTTTATTTATTTTTTTTTTTTTATCTAGGTATATATGTCACTGGAAATGAATGTCATGAACTCGTAATACGAAAGTACAGTTGTGGCGAAACGCGTGACCGCGGCTTATCGTGGTACACAGCCTTATCACCGGCTAAACAATATTTCACCCAACGCAAGCTACGGTAATAATCCAAGGCGTCCGTCGACTGTCGGTCAACGCCAAAAATAACATTTTTGAAGTTTACGATCGTCGAAGAAAAAAAAAACAAAAAAAAATCGGTTATCAATAAAAGTCAAGTCAGCATCAAAATCCTCAGCTATACACGTATGTATTGTGTACCAAGTGGACGACTAAGCACTTCGAGGATAAATCCGGTCCAATTGGAAGTGCGGCCTTGAGGCCTGGCCGAAATTCTCTCGAGGCACGTGCGCACGCGGTACACGCAGAGATTTGGGCTCGGTTGGTCCACTGCGCTCATGTAATCACGTGCTCGATCGATCGCCACCTCGTACGCATAAATATATTCCCATAATGGAGGGACGAGGATATATTGCCGTCGTTGCGACTATTGTTTATTTATTTTATTCACAAATAAATTGTACATTTATACTATATGAGTGAAAAATCAGCTCCCTTTGCCAATGTGTGCCCAGAACAGGAGAGAGAGAGAGGCGTATAATTCTATAACAGGTTGGTCGGTGGTTATTACACCACTGTACGTCGAATCGAGAAAATATATTGCACGTCGTCGTCGCCAGGGCTTCTTTAGGATAATCAAATTAACATTCACTACGCTAATCTGCTTTTTGCATTTTGCTCCCTGAAATCATTGACAACGTGTGTTGTTCCGATGACCGCGGGAGGAAAATTTTTCGAGAATACATTACACGTCTCTCAAAGGTCATTACGTGTTTGGCTTTACGTTTATTAACGCGATGAGCTTTTATTTAATTGTGTATCCTCTGGTTAACATTATTTTTTTTTCTCCTGGTTAGGATTTTATTTTTGCGACGCAGTATCAATTCGACACACGAGATATAATTAATCGTACGAGCCTACGTGTAATTTGGTGCTGTACTCACGACTGAACCTTGAATGATTTCTCACGACACTATTGGTTAATCCGTTCGATCATTGTTGTTATTATAACTACCGAACGTGCCGATGGTCAACTCGATTAACGCCGCGCCAGTCATACTAGGCGGGTACGTGCCTATATGATACGCTTGGCATTCGTAAGCTGTCGGAATTAGTTTATATATCTCGCGATAACGTTTTTGGGAACATTTTCTCTTCTTTCCCTCGTTAAATATGACATACTTTGTGAATGACTGGCAATAAGTTTAAATGGATTTCTCGAAAATTATAACCGTATCTTCCGTCAGTTATTTCTTTAGAAAAATAAAAAAAATAAAAAAAATATTGATTGATAAATTTATGCAAAGAAGGTTTTTGGCTCGCATAGCAACGTCGGACACTATAGAATGAAAAGTATTATTGCGTACGCAGTGGTGTGAATTATTCATGGATATATTTGATTTTTTTCGATGTTTCAATGCCGCATAATATAATACAATATTTTGCGAATCGTATATGACGTGCATCTATGCGTGGGTGTGTGAATGCAAATGCGAATGAATCCTCGTTCCTCGTGTTAATCAAACTGCTTCGCTCTTTTTGACAATTTAAATACGTATAAATATTTTTTATATAAAAAAAAAAAAATTATTTGCGCCATTACGAACGATTGTTGTTGCCACGTTGCCTCATGCAAATATTATGTATAACTCGCGTGTCTGTTAAAAGTAACAGCGAAAAAAATAGTTTTTGCTCGTAACATTTTTTATTTGCCCAAAAAAAGCCAGAAAATGATTATACGTACACGCGATGGATATACCTGCGGTAACAACCCGCGCAAGCGTTGCACTATATAGGACAGAGAGAAAGAGGCAAAGAACGTGACTGCTCACAACATAAATAATACGCATCACGCGATAATTTCTCTCTCGCGAAAGACTAAAGCGATGAGACAACGCGACGCGCCGATAAGACGCCGGGAAGTTGTTTCGCCGTATAACTTACACGAGCAAACGAGAAAATAAATAAACCTTTATAGGAGAACAGAACAACGCTATGACGCATGATTGTTTTTTTTTTTGTCTCCTTCTTCTCTCGCTTCTGCAGCGAAATTTATATAGTACACACGCGTGAGGTCGGATTTCGCGGAGCGCCTCTATTTTTTTTAAAAACCTCTTCCTCCGCCCGCTCCTACATCCGCAGTTTTATAAATGAAAGATCACCCGGAGATGTGAATAATTAATGATGCGGCTGTTTCGAGGATTGCGCAACGAGCTTCACGTAAGTTTTAGATGCGCATTGTAATTTGGCCCGTTAAAAACTCATAATACTGCCGATGACTTGATAATTTATTACTCGGTCATCGTTTTATATATTATATATACATGGTGATGTAAAATTTTTTTTTATAGCCACTCTATATTATGCGTTCGTTTGTACAGCGTTGAGTCATTGAATTTGCACGGCAAATATTAATGTTGGTACCGGCAGCGTGTTTGCGAATGACTAACATTGACAACAGAGTTGTGTTGACGAATCAAGTGACACAAGAAAAAAATATTTATGATTGTTATTACTGATTTTAACAAAAGGCCGTGATAATAAGGAGTATGAAAATTTATGGTCCAGAGAAAAATATTTTCCTCGCTCGTGCGGCGTGTAGTCCCTTTTCTCTCGTTGACGCGGATATACATTTATTTTCCCCCTCGTTTTCCCCTACTCCGTTGGCTTCCCGACTCCCCTACTCACGGTTTTTCCGCCAATTACCCATCGATTTTTCTCAAAATAGTCCCCACTATAGTTGTGTGCTAAGGCAATATACGGTGAAAATTCAGAGCAACATGTTTATACTATCTATTGTACGTGTTTTCGCCTCTTTTTTTTTTTCGATGCATAGAAAACCAATTGGAGTATCGAAAAACAAAAAAATAAATCGAAAAACCCATGGCGTAAATTATTGATCGGTTAACTGTAAAATTAAAATTCACCGTAAATGTGTGCGCAGCAAGGAAGTAAAAGGCCAAGCCCCAACATCTCTACATTTACATAGTTCGCACATAAAAAAAAAAAAAAAAAAAAAAAACGATCAAATAGACATCAGCCGGCACACCTCTCTCTCTCACTTTATTGCGTGCACCCTCGATACGAACACGTATACCATACAATACGGTATTTATCGTGGAGAAACGTAAACGTATAGCATAATATTACAGGATACCGACATAACTTTATGCAAACGTATAAAAGAAATGTATAAGGTGTATATTATATACACGCATGTATACAGACAGCTGATGTGTTGAATTGACCCTCTCTCTCTCTCTTTATCCACCTCCTCCTCCCCCGCGTTGCACTTATACGTGTAGGTGTACGCGAAGCTCCTTTTCCAACTTTTTTTTTTCCTCCCTCTGCGGTAACGTCAGAGAAAAAAAAAAAAAAATCAACGTGCCGAGTTAGGAATATGTACGTCCAGGATGTCCAAGGATATAAAAGTTATTATGCGAGGTCCTTTTGTAAGTGAACTGCAGAGGGTAGCTGTTTATAACTTTTTAAAGCAACAGCTACACTTTACAAGTATATTATATTGCTCATAGCCGCCAAACAAAATATTATACGGTTCTTATTTATTAATTGTTTTTATATAATTGTCTCATCTCCAAACGTATACAAAGTTACACGGAGGAGTGTTTAAGAAGGTGGTGCGGGACGTGCGTTGTAAAAGGCTATCGATTGACCCGAAAGCCTACACGTTACAGATGCCGAAGCCGATGATGAATGTACATATTTTATATATACACATGTATCCTTTTGCCGTACCGATCCATTTTATTTTCTCTTATATACGCATATATATA